TGACCCGTGCGATTGGTTGTAGCCCTTCGCCGAAGTCTTAACACAGTACTACTCTGATGGCGACATCGTTGGCGTCTGTGATGACTTCGAATGGATGGTGAGGTTCGGCGATGCGAAGGACAGGGGCTGAGCATAGAAAAGTTTTGAGCGCGGAGAAGGCAGCTTGCTTTTTCTCCCCCCACCTATACTCAGTCCCTTTCCATAACAGGTCAGACAATGGTGCAGTTACCCCCCGCCATATTTGGGAAAAAATTCTGAACGTAATTCATGAACCATAAAAAACTTTGCAGCTCGTGCAGGTTCATAAGCGGTAGCCAGGCTTGCACAGTCTCGATCTTCCGCGGGTTGAATTCGACGCCTTTAGTGGAAATTATGTGCCCTAGAAATTCTAGCCTATCTTTTAGGAACTCGCACTTAGATCCCTTCGTGAGCAGCCGATGCTCTGAAGTTGCATGAAAACTGCTTCGAGGTCTTTTAAGTGCTGCTCCGAGGTCTCATTGTAGATCAGGATGTCGTCTCGATAAATTATAATAGACTTGTCTACGAGTGAACTGAAAATCTGGTCCATGGTCATTTGGAAAGTCGCTGGGGCCTTCGCGAGTCCGAAGGGCATAACTACATACTCGAAACTCCCGTATCTAGTACGAAATGCGGTCGTGTGACAGCTAGCTATGACTACGCGAATCTAGTGGTAACCCCCTCGTAAATCTATTTTCTAGAAGTAGCGAGCTTTACGAAGTTGGTCGATCAGTTCGTAAGTCCCCCGATGTATTTGTCGAATTTCTCGTAAGGGTGATTGTAGCCGACCTGATCGCATAGGTTCTTGAAGCTGTCGGTGTAGTCCTGGACCGACCCGAGTTGGTGCCATGTGCGAAGGCAGTCATGCGCTTGACTGCTTGCATTGTTGTATTCAAAGTGTTGACGAATTCCCATGCACCACGATTGCCACGTGTTGTACTCGTCCACCTCGCAATAACTTCATGCCGAATGATTGGTTGTGCAAAAACGCCTGATCACGCGCGGCGTTGTATCCGGCTCCTATGACTGAATTATCTGCTGCCATCAATCCATCGCCAATCCACACGTAGGAGCGAAATGGCATATCGGAGTTTCTGCGCATCGTCGTCGTAAAACACGTTCAGATGGAAAATCCATCCACTGATCGACAAACTGCGACGCTGGCTTGGGTCGAATGTGGCCAGCCTCTACGCCTTGAGGATTCCCGGCGCCATGTTGACATTTGCATTTTGCAGGCTGGTGGAAGAGGTAATTGGGGGCAGCAGGTTGATGTTCACCCCTTCGCCAACTTCCCTTCGTCCAATGACTCGTGGCGGATTGTTCGTCGAACCCTCAGGCGAAGCCGCATGTGGTCGCTGATTGTCACCATGTATTTCGGAATGCTGCTGAGTTATTTGCTGCTGTTGTCCTTGGTTTGTTGTTGGCGGGATCGTGTCGTGTCGTGTATGAGGCATTTGGCTCCAAAGTGCAGATATCATCTCAGATTCAGCGTGGGTCATTTCAGCTCATAGACGTGCCAACTCCTGCACGTACAACTCGTAAGTGAGTCTGACTTCTTCGAGTGCTACCACCATTTCTTCAGGAGTCATGGCGTTAGACGACAACGAATCCACCATTTTGTGGAAAATTTTGGGCGGCTTCGGCATGCTGGCACTACGAACACAGTCGTGGCTGTAGTTAATTATCGATTGATATCAAGACAACGGATATGCAGTAAGCATATGGTGTCAACCTCCCTAAGTGTCAATATTGCAACGGAACTAGAGCGCAAGGCCGAGGATCGTTGGCTTTGGTGGCCAGGTGTAATAAAGTGCAAAGAGGGTGTGTCAAATAATTGAGTAGCGAGGAAACAATACAATGAGGCAACACCAAAACAACAGGGAGTATGGATATAGATAGGCCTAGACCCCACGGTCAAGGCTCAGCAGAGCTGAGGTGTGTGGTTTGTAAATTGGCGCGAGGCGCCCAGATCTAGGCATGAAACAACAAGGCGGGCAAAATGCATGCGGCTCGTCAGGAGACCACATTTGGGTGTCGCGATTTGAATTTCATGGTAGAGCTGCGCGGCGACCCCGTTATAGCACTGTATGGCTTACTAACTAAAACCCGTGATAAGGAAATACCATTTCCTTACAATTTACAAACTTACTCTGAAGGTTCTAAGAATACACAAATAAACATGGCACCATCTAAGGATGTGGGGTCATCCACTCGATCCCTAGACATCGAACCATTTGCATCTCCAGGCTCTGAGCTTCAGGCAGAGGTAGCAGATACTCAAGATGCAATAGCAGGGGCAGCCATGACTCTAGTGCCTCCCTCTTCGGGCTTCAATTCAAACGTTATGGATCGGTTCTTCTCCTTCATGTCGCACTTTGAGCAGCAACATTCAGCACCTGCATCATCATTCAACAGAGGCTTGGCATCCATGAGTATTGACAAGTCATTGTATACAAGGGGCAACTAGCAGCCCATTTAGTAACCACCTACTAAGTCAACCCCGGGATCATTCAGCTTCCTGCCGGCTCGACAGCTTGTAATAGCATCCGGAACGGCATCCGCAACAGCTAATAGTCCTAGTTAGAAACTGTACCTGCAAGCTCAAATTTCAAACATACTGAGCTGCAAACATTGTTTCCCCTCAACCGCCATTACTTATATACCTAGAGCTTCGAGTTCGAACTCATGATGGAAGGTGCTCATGTTTTGGGATACTTCATGCGTACCTACAAGTATAAAAGAAAGCGGAATTGCGAGGTACAAGGAGCAATACACTTTTAGTTACTGATGGCTTACACCATCCTTCTCCGCAATGTATCGCCAACCGAGCAACAGAGCATCAAAACATATAGAGGATATGGGAATTCATTAGAGCTCGCCTACTATCACCTCTAGAGCATGTTCCAGGCATCAAATAGCTGACAATGATCCACATACAATCCGGGAAAAGGGCAATGGCCTGCATGAACTGATGCAGAGGGCTACACAACCGACTTATGCAAAATGGAAGAAACTTATCAGAGGAAGCCTTCATGATAATTGTTCTTGCCAATCTTGGTCCTCAATGGCACACGACTCGCCCCCTTCTTCGGGATCACGGTAAGGTATCAGAAATGCACCTCTGCATCAAAATCCATGTTGAACAGTAGGACATGGATTTATTCAATGAAAGTAACGGAAGGAAAACAAGTCAGATTGCATTTTACACACAAGGACGCCCTTAAGGTCAACATTACAAGCGAGCCGTACCTCCCTATTGTCACCTCTGTTGCATGTCTGGACATTTTCAGGTGACCTGTCCAAGAATGCAAGAGTAGCTGATGCCTCGAGTGGTACTCAAGGGAATAGTACGCGAGTAGCAGATGCCTTGATTTCGTCCGTCAAGTACTCAAGTCACATTAACCCAATAATGTCCACCCAAATCGTCACTATGACCTGCACAGGGAACTCGAAACATAGTCAGTTGCATGGCGTGCACCGGTTCTTGCATGACGAAATCTCCACCTACCAACGAAGCTGATGAGTTTCCGCCATCACTGAACCAGAGTCGCCTTCTGCACAATCCCATGTATGCAGAAATTGCTTGTAACTAACCATCCGGGTGTGACACTTGGTTCTTGGATAGTTGCTGCGGCCAGCACATTTGCTCTTCTGCATGTTTCATCCAGCACGAACGTTGCTTAAATCGCGAAGTCATTACTACTGTCGCCAACAATCAAAACTTGTGTATATCCTGCTTAGGCATTGTCTAGCTGCAGTCTCTGGAGATCTATGTCACCATGCAGCTCTCTCGTGTATTGGTTGTCGACGACCTTGGTCACAACCTTCTCAATGTCAGCCAAATGATGTCGAAAGGCATTCGCCTGGAATGTAACAACAATGAGATGGAGCTCCAGTTATACCAAGAAGAAGGGGGGTTATACATCAAGAAATCAATAATGAATCCGCCGTCTTCGTCCTTGACTTCCTACCGAATTGTGGAACCGCCAATAGCGATAATGGAACTGCCAATAGCGACTGCATCGTATTGTTTACGACTTGGACACACCCTCCTGATCTTGACTCTGACTCCAGTCTCGACGGCTTCCGGTACTCCCATGCGATTCTTGAAGCAGAACGCACACGAGCATTAGTAGTTATTGTTAATTCAGAAAGACAAACCGAGGAGGAACAACGGGCAATCCCGGAACAACAAGCTGATCCTTCGACTGCCCCTCGATACCTGCCGGTGCTGGGCTGCCTCAAGACAGAAAACGTTGCACGTGTGTGTGAACTGTTTACAAAATTGATTGGACCAATGCTAATTATCGCAGCCAGTGGACTGAGTTGAGAGAGCGCCAAGCCAACTGTCAGAACTACTACCTCGCAGACCCTGTCGCAGTGCGCAGTAGAGGCCTTTCGCGCAGCAGAGGCCTTTTGCGCAACAAAGGCCTTTCGTGCAGCAGAGGCCTTTCGCACAGCAGGGGCCTTTTGCGTGTTACTGTCGTTGCAGTAGTTGCGCCGGGCGCATCCAAACCTGACTGAAGTGATTTGCTGTATGCTCGGCTTTGTAAATCGCTTGCCAATGACTTTCATACACTTGTCATCACATTCCCTTTGCGCGAGTGTTTAAATGTGTGCGCTGCTGTGACGTGAACTGTGCCCACACACCCACAGTAGGTAGAGATTTCGTCAGAGTAACATTAACTCCAACCCTGTCTGAAAAGAGTCGCAGTATGAAACACCCTGTATAAACTAGGGTGCCCACGCACGGTACCCTGATGCCAACAAAACCACACGACGCGGCCGGCGGCACGACGACGCCGCCACAGCAGCACGACGCGGCCGCCATGGCAGCGTGAGAGGGAGAGGAGTGAGCGGCGGAAGCGTGATTAGCAGGCCCAAGAAGAGCAACCTGCTCTGATACCATGTCAAAGGAACTAGGTAGCTAGGGAAGCCATAGAATGGCGTGAGGTTTTAGGCTAGGAAAAATATCGAGAGAGAAGAGATTGAGATTAGAAGAGATAGAATTCGTTTCGACGCACTTTTCTTGTTCAGGCTTGAAGCCTTGAACTCAAAGCTGCCTTCAATTGTATACTTCGACGGATTTCAAAGCACGAAATTCAACTGGCTTCCATGTCTGCTATTTTAGCTACTGGATTGAAGGAACGCACGATGAAGCAAATCACGTTCCGTGTTATTGCACAGGTGCGGGAGGTGGCACGCATCGGCGCTCTGCTGCACACACATCATATTTGCGCTACACTCAGCCACCTGCCACAACGTGCATCACAGTTACAAAGCCCATCACGGCGCACGCTAGGAGATGGCTAGAAGCGCTTGTGCTTGACCCGCCACACTCGCAGGCGGCTGCGCGCCACAATGAAGGCCAGGTACGAGAGCACGGCAGCACTGCCCCAGAATGACCACGACACAGGCGCCTCCTGGGAGAGGGGTAGGAGAGATGGACAGAGGGAGGGGCAAGGAGAGATGCACACAGGGAGGGCGACAACAGAGGTGCGGAGGAGGTGTGCATGGCATCTGGGAAGCAAGCAAAAGAGGTGCGCATGTCACCTGGAAGCAGGCGAAGGAGGTGTGCATCTCCTGCGCGGACTGCCCTGCGATGTCGAACAACGCGTCCATGTCGTGCCGCGCCGACCGCGCAAAGTACCCCGCCAGAGGGAAGTCGAGGTCGGACAGCGCGGCGGCGGCGCGGTCTATCTTGTGGAGCAGCACGGCCCACCGCTGGGAGAAGTGCTGCCTCAGCGCACCGGGCCTCAGCGCTGCCTCCTCCGACCCGTACTTCTGTGTGGGGCGAGGGGGGGTGAAAGGGGAAGCAGGGAGGCGTGGGAAGCGGGAAGGGGTGGCGGTTTTTGGGCTAGAGCTGGCGTTTCTTTGGAGGGAAAGAGAGCAGAGGAAATCGGAGGGCAGCTGAACTAAGAAGAGTAGAGAGGTGATGGGAGGGGGGGAGAGGACGGGCGATAAAACGATGTAAGGAGGTGCACCTGCATGGCGGTGAGGAGGTGCAGGGTGCTGGAGATGGTGGTGTTGAGCACTGAGAGCACCACGTTGCGCAGCGCCGCATCACGGTGCGCCATGGAGAGAGAGGTGTGGCGTGAGAAGGGGCCGAAGGGCGTCATGCCCACCGACCACCGCCAGTTGTGCCGCGACACGTTGTGGATGGCGCTCCATGACTCGTGGCTGGGGGGGGAGTAGGGTGGAGAGGGGTGTGGTGGATGCGGGGGGGGCGTGGTGGACGTGGGGGGGGTGTGGTGGATGCGGGGGGGGTGTGGTGGACGCGGGGGGGTATGGTGGACGCGGGGGGGGTGTGGTGGAACACGGATTCATGGCAGATGCGTGGGAGGGCAGTGGTGAAGCGTGGGAGGGCAGTGGTGAAGCGTGGGAGGGCAGTGGTGAAGGGTGGGAGGGCAGTGGTGAAGCGTGGGAGGGCAGTGGTGAAGCGTGGGAGGGCAGTGGTGAAGAATGAAAGGGCAGTGGTGAAGCGTGGGAGGGCAGTGGTGAAGCGTGGGAGGGCAGTGGTGAAGCGTGGGAGGGCAGTGGTGAAGCGTGGGAGGGCAGTGGTGAAGCGTGGGAGGGCAGTGGTGAAGCGTGGGAGGGCAGTGGTGAAGCGTGGGAGGGCAGTGGTGAAGCGTGGGAGGGCAGTGGTGAAGCGTGGGAGGGCAGTGGTGAAGCGTGGGAGGGCAGTGGTGAAGGGTGGGAGGGCAGTGGTGAAGCGTGGGAGGGCAGTGGTGAAGGGTGGGAGGGCACTGGTGAAGTGTGGGAGGGCAGTGGTGAAGTGTGGGAGGGCAGTGGTGAAGCGTGGGAGGGCAGTGGTGACGCGTGGGAGGGCAGTGGTGAAGCGTGGGAGGGCAGTGGTGAAGGGTGGGAGGGCAGTGGTGAAGTGTGGGAGGGCAGTGGTGAAGCGTGGGAGGGCAGTGGTGAAGGGTGGGAGGGCAGTGGTGAAGCGTGGGAGGGCAGTGGTGAAGTGTGGGAGGGCAGTGGTGAAGCGTGGGAGGGCAGTGGTGAAGCGTGGGAGGGCAGTGGTGAAGCGTGGGAGGGCAGTGGTGAAGATTGGGAGGGCAGTGGTGAAGAGTGGGAGGGCGGTGGTGAAGAGTGGGAGGAGGGAGCGTGCATGCGGGCTGTGCATGGCGCAGGTCAGGGTGCCACTTGATGTGGGCAAGGCGAAGCAAAGAGACATGTCGGTACGGCTTGGAAGGGGCATGCAGGTACGGCTTGGAAGGGACGTGCAGGTACGGCTTGGAAGGGACATGCAGGTACGGCTTGGAAGGGACATGCAGTTACGGCTTGGAAAGGACATACAGGTACGGCTTGGAAGGGACATGCAGGTACGGCTTGGAAGGGACATGCAGGTACGGCTTGGAAGGGACATGTAGGCACGGCGTGGAAGGGACATGCAGGTACGTCTTGGAAGGGACATGTAGGTACGGCTTGGAAGGGACATGCACATACGGCTTGGAAGGGACATGCACGTACGGCTTGGAAGGGACATGCATGTATGGCTTGGAAGGGACATGTAGGTACGGCTTGGAAGGGACATATAGCTACGGCTTCGAAGGGCCATAGATACATACAGGTGGACTTGAGTGGAGATGTCCCCACCAAGAAGAAATGTGTGTGCGATACGATACAATGCGATGCGATGCGACACGATATGATACGATACAATACGTTGCTATATAAAGCGACGCGACATGCCACGATGCGACATGATACGTTGCGATGTGACACGACACGATACGATACGGTATGATACGATACCGTACGATACGATACGTTATGAAACGATACGATGCGATGCGACAAAATACGATACGATACGATGCGATGCGACACGATATGATTTGATACGATGCGATACGATACGATGCGATGCGACAAGATGCGACGACATACGATGCAATACGCCACATGATGCGACACGATACGATGCAATGTGCTAGTCAAGGCGGGAGGCGAGGGGAAGAGGGAGGGAGGGAGGGGGTGGGCAGTGACGATGGGGATGGAGCGCGCACGTGGGGGCGACGCCCCAGGCAGTCTGCAGGATGGCGGAGAGCACAGCACGCGTCACGTTGGAGGGGTCCATGGGCACCAGCTCGCCCTCGCACCTGGGGGGGTGGGGGGCACATGGGGGGTGGGGAGCAGGGGGTGGCAGGCATGAGTGCGACAAGGAGTGGGATGTGAAGGAGGGAGTGCGCGACATGGAGGGCAATGGCGGCAGACATATAGTGGAGGAACTGAAACACCATTCTGGCTTCGCATCTCACATGCACTCTAGACGAAGCATGCGATCCCCATCTCACATGCAGAGGAAGGGTCACATCTCACCTGTACTCTGCCAGCATCTCACCTGTACTCTGGCAGCATCTCACCTGCACTCTGCCAGCATCTCACCTGTACTCTGCCAGCATCTCACCTGTACTCGGCCAGCATCTCACCTGTACTCTGCCAGCATCTCACCTGCACTCTCCCAGCATCTCACCTGTACTCTGCCAGCATCTCACCTGTACTCGGCCAGCACCTCACCTGTACTCGGCCAGCATCTCACCTGTACTCGGCCAGCATCTCACCTGTACTCTGCCAGCATCTCACCTGTACTCTGCCAGCATCTCACCTGTACTCTGCCAGCAACCCACCTGTACTCTGCCAGCATCTCACCTGTACTCGGCCAGCATCTCACCTGTACTCGGCCAGCATCTCACCTGTACTCGGCCAGCATCTCACCTGTACTTGGCCAGCATCTCACCTGTACTCGGCCAGCATCTCACCTGTACTTTGCCAGCATCTCACCTGTACTCTGCCAGCGTCTCAAATGTACTCGGCCAGCATCTCACCTGTACTCTGCCAGCGTCTCACCTGTACTCTGCCAGCATCTCACCTGTACGCGGCCAGCATCTCACCTGTACTCTGCCAGCATCTCACCTGTACTCGGCCAGCACCTCACCTGTACTCGGCCAGCATCTCACCTGTACTCAGCCAGCATCTCACCTGTACTCTGCCAGCATCTCACCTGTACTCTGCCAGCACCTCACCTGTACTCTGCCAGCATCTCACCTGTACTCGGCCAGCACCTCACCTGTACTCGGCCAGCATCTCACCTGTACTCTGCCAGCATCTCACCTGTACTCTGCCAGCATCTCACCTGTACACGGCCAGCATCTCACCTGTACTCTGCCAGCACCTCACATGTACTCTGCCAGCATCTCACCTGCACGCTGCCAGCATCTCACCTGTACTCTGCCAGCATCTCACCTGTACTCTGCCAGCATCTCACCTGTACTCGGCCAGCATCTCACCTGTACTCGGCCAGCATCTCACCTGTACTCTGCCAGCATCTCACCTGTACTCTGCCAGCATCTCACCTGTACTCGGCCAGCATCTCACCTGTACTCGGCCAGCATCTCACCTGTACTCTGCCAGCATCTCACCTGTACTCGGCCAGCATCTCACCTGTACTCGGCCAGCATCTCACCTGCACTCGGCCAGCATCTCACCTGTACTTGGCCAGCATCTCACCTGTACTCGGCCAGCATCTCACCTGTACTCTGCCAGCATCTCACCTGTACTCTGCCAGCGTCTCACCTGTACTCTGCCAGCGTCTCACCTGTACTCGGCCAGCAACTCACCTGTACTCTGCCAGCGTCTCACCTGTACTCGGCCAGCACCTCACCTGTACTCGGCCAGCATCTCACCTGTACTCTGCCAGCACCTCACATGTACTCTGCCAGCATCTCACCTGCACGCTGCCAGCATCTCACCTGTACTCTGCCAGCATCTCACCTGTACTCTGCCAGCATCTCACCTGTACTCTGCCAGCATCTCACCTGTACTCTGCCAGCGTCTCACCTGTACTCGGCCAGCAACTCACCTGTACTCTGCCAGCGTCTCACCTGTACTCGGCCAGCACCTCACCTGTACTCGGCCAGCATCTCACCTGTACTCTGCCAGCACCTCACATGTACTCTGCCAGCATCTCACCTGCACGCTGCCAGCATCTCACCTGTACTCTGCCAGCATCTCACCTGTACTCTGCCAGCATCTCACCTGTACTCGGCCAGCATCTCACCTGTACTCGGCCAGCATCTCACCTGTACTCTGCCAGCATCTCACCTGTACTCTGCCAGCATCTCACCTGTACTCGGCCAGCATCTCACCTGTACTCGGCCAGCATCTCACCTGTACTCTGCCAGCATCTCACCTGTACTCGGCCAGCATCTCACCTGTACTCGGCCAGCATCTCACCTGCACTCGGCCAGCATCTCACCTGTACTTGGCCAGCATCTCACCTGTACTCGGCCAGCATCTCACCTGTACTCTGCCAGCATCTCACCTGTACTCTGCCGGCGTCTCACCTGTACTCTGCCAGCGTCTCACCTGTACTCGGCCAGCATCTCACCTGTACTCTGCCAGCGTCTCACCTGTACTCGGCCAGCACCTCACCTGTACTCGGCCAGCATCTCACCTGTACTCTGCCAGCATCTCACCTGTACTCTGCCAGGATCTCACCTGTACACGGCCAGCATCTCACCTGTACTCTGCCAGCACCTCACATGTACTCTGCCAGCATCTCACCTCCACGCTGCCAGCATCTCACCTGTACTCTGCCAGCATCTCACCTGTACTCTGCCAGCATCTCACCTCTACTCGGCCAGCATCTCACCTGTACTCAGCCAGCATCTCACCTGTACTCTGCCAGCACCTCACCTGTACTCTGCCAGCATCTCACCTGTACTCGGCCAGCATCTCACCTGTACTCGGCCAGCATCTCACCTGTACTCTGCCAGCATCTCACCTGTACTCGGCCAGCATCTCACCTGTACTCGGCCAGCATCTCACCTGCACTCGGCCAGCATCTCACCTGTACTTCGTCAGCATCTCACCTGTACTCGGCCAGTATCTCACCTCTACTCTGCCAGCATCTCACCTGTACTCTGCCAGCGTCTCACCTGTACTCTGCCAGCGTCTCACCTGTACTCGGCCAGCATCTCACCTGTACTCTGCCAGCGTCTCACCTGTACTCTGCCAGCATCTCACCTGTACTCGGCCAGCATCTCACCCGTACTCTGCCATCATCTCACCTGTACTCTGCCAGCATCTCACCTGTACACGGCCAGCATCTCACCTGTACTCGGCCAGCATCTCACCTGTGTAAGAAAACGGGACTTTGATTGATTAAAATGAGAGAGGGCATACAAGCTTAAGTACCAACCATAGGAGAGGGTTGGAAGGGATTAGGGGAATCGGAGGGAATCCCAAGGGAATCCTCCCAAATCGTGGGGATTTGGGATGGATTGGGTTGGAATAGGTTGGAGATAAAAAAGCTACACCCAACCTAACAAACATTCCTAACCCTAAACAAACAAATGACGAACACACAAATGTGCAACATTGCAGCCTATCTCCAACACACCCCCTAGGCTGCAACGGCTGAAGTCATCGGGACGCCATGACCCGTAGCACGGAGGAGGCCGTAGTGGTCACGGCGTCCAAGAGACTTGGTGAACAGGTCTGCGAGGTTGCAGTCAGAAGAAATGTGCTTCACCCACAACTGGCCACGCTGGACCAACTCGCGCATAAAGAAGTGCCGAAGCTTGATATGCTTGGTCCGTTGGTGGAAGGCAGGGTCTTTGGTAAGGTGTATAGTGCTCTCGTTGTCACACCATAGGGTCGGGGTCTGCTGAGGATACTCGAGCTCAGCCATGAGGTAGGTAAGCCATCGGGCTTCTTGGGTTGCCATGGTGCCTGCGTACAGCTCTGCTTCGCAGGACGACAAAGAGACGGACGATGAGCGTGTTAATCGCCAGCTAATGACACCACTACCAAGGGTGAAGCAATAGCCCTGGGAGGAGCGTCGGTCAGCTTGGTCGTCAGCCCATGAGGAATCACTGTACCCCTCGAGGTGAGGAGGGGACGTGCCACCGAGAGCGAGGACAAAGTCCTTGGTGGCTTGAAGGTAGTGAAGGACACGCTTAGCAGCTGACCAGTGGCGATTGGTGTAACGACCAGCAGCAACGTAACGTAAGAGCACGCTGATGGGATAGGCCAAGTCGGGCCTTGTGCACATCATCGCATGCATGAGTGAGCCGACGAGCTCGGGATAAGCTGCATCACAAGGCTCAGGTGATGGAACTGGCGGGGCAGTCAGATCGTGCTGCAGGGGAAGCGGCATAGCCACTGACTTGGCTTCGTCCATGTTGAAGCGCTTGAGGACGTTGTTCACGTAGAACTCTTGGGAGAGAGTAATGGTTTGGGCATCACGATCCCGCGTGATTTCCATCCCAAGGTAGTTCTTGAGTTCGCCGAGATCCTTCATCGCGAGTGCGTCCCCTAGGGCTTGCTTGACTGCTGCCTGCTGATCGGAGTCCTTGGAGAAGAGGATCATGTTGTCAACATAGACGAGGATCATGTTGTCAACATAGACGAGAATGAAGAACGGCTTCTCGTTCTTGCGAATGAAAAGGCTCGGATCGGCGGCAGAAGGATGAAGTCGAGTGACTCGTGGGTGGCCTTCAGCTTCTTATGCCATACGCGAGGAGCTTGCTTCAGCTCGTAGACGGGTCGATTCAACTTCCAGACTGTTCCGGGTGGAGAGGGTAAGGGGAACCCTTGAGGCCGTTCCATGAAAATATCCTCAGGTGTGAAACAGCGGAAGGAGACGGAGCGGGTGAGGAGGAGAGGGTAGAGGAATCAGGAGTGGTGGCAGTGGGGATGGAGAGCGAGGCGTCGAAATCGGCCCAGACGAGCGAAGGCGGAGCGGGGGCAGGAGACGAGTGAAGATAAAATGGGCGAGTCTAGTGAAAAGCGACATCTCAGCTACGGATGAGTTGATTAGTGGATGGATTGAGGAAAATGTAGGTTGGAGAATCGACGTTGTGACCAAGGTAGACGCATGTCTGAGTCTTGGGAGCGAACTTGCCGCCATGGGCGCGGCGATGATGAGGATTGAGGACATAAGCGGTACACCCACAGGCGCGGAGCGGGCGTGCACTTGGCTTGGAGCCTGTCCAGAGCTCGGCAGGCGTGACCTCGGGGCGAAGGGGATGAGGGTGAAGGTTGTAGAGGAGGGTGGCGTGAAGGAGAGCGTATTCCCAAAGGGAGGGTGGAGCGG